TAAACCCTAACCCTAAACCCTAGCCGCTTTGCAGCCCGGGTCCCCGCGCGTAGCGGGCGAAGTAGCCCAGGCCCTTCTTGGCGAGGCCGCCGCCGAAGTAGGCCAGAGAGGTGAGCCTCTTGGGCTATTTGGGGTTTAGGGTTTAGGGTTGACTTTGTGGGCTCCTTTAAGGGTTTGTTTAGGGGTTCCGTTAAGGAGGTTCCTGTAAGGATTGCTTGAAGGGTTCTGGCTTCAGGGTTGAGGGCTCGTGAGGTTTAAGGTTTGAGGTTTAAGGCTTGAGGTTTAAGGTTCGAGTTCTGCTCTCTTTTAGGGGGTCGGCTTGAGTTTGTTAACGTTTCGGATTTCTTTTAAGATTGAGATGCGGAACTTACCAAGTTTTCTGGGGTTTTGCAGGTGGTGGTGGTAGTGGAGTATAGCAGCAGTAGCACGTCGACGTACAAGCGAATTTTCGGCTGTGTCGCCACGGAATGTGTCCCAAAAGCCACCATCCACCTGTTCTGGGTGCGGACTGGTTGTGCCTGACATGATCATCTGACGGGATTTGTATTCTCGTTATGAATCGAACGGAAGGTGCCAGAGTGGCAGACTTGCACAGCTGAGCTTTAATCACAAGTCCGGAAACAACAAATCCCTCTCACATGGTGATCACCAAAGGATAGCTGCATGTCGCAGCAGGTTCCTTGATCGGTGCACAGCAGCTCGAAGAAAGCACACACATCTTTGAGCAATCGAGCCAAACCTAAGGACCCCGGTGCGAAACTGCGCACCTAAAGTCCTAGAGCAAGTTGCAAATATGATAGTTGTGATGGTGATGTACTACCTGCGGCTGGCCGGGCACAAGATTCGCGACAACTTGGTTCTGCTGATTGAAGGCCCACCGGACACCGAGCGCAGCACCGGCAAATGCTGCCACAACTGCCAGTGCAGCAATCCCCACGCCCACCGCGATGTCCAGAAGGATGCAAGTTGGCCGCGACGTCCGGCGGCATGCTGTCAACGTGTCGGCCAAAAGCCGCTTTCAGCAAATGGCCTTGCAGGCGTCGTTTGAATCCAGACTTGTCACTGGCATACATCTCCTCGTAGTCCAACTGCATGGTCAATCTGAAATGAATGTTGGAGTCATCTCTCTCCAGAACCTCACACCTCGTGTGGCCCATTGAAGTGGTCAAATGCTTCTCTATGAGCTCACTCAAGACCTCTGGCGTCATGGGTTCGGGTTGGGGTTCTGTGTGGCGAGCGATGCAGAGTCAGGCATGACACCTCCAACAACTCCACGTCTCACAAGCGAGCACAAGTAGTAGTAGTAGTAGTAGTAGTAGTAGTAGTAGTAGCAGTAGTAGTAGTAGTAGTAGTAGTAGTAGTAGTAGTATTAATAATAGTAGTAATAAACGTAGTGGTCGTAATAGTAATAGTAACAGTAATAATAATAGTAATAGTAAAAGTAATAATAATAGTAATAGTAAAAGTAATAGTAATAGTAGTAGTAGTAGTAGTAGTAGTAGTACTTAGAAGTCGTTAGTAATAGCTAGTGGTAGCTAGCAGTCGTTAGTACAAGTTAGTAGTCGTGACTAGTACTCAGTAGCAGATAACATTCGTTGGTACTAGCTACCAGCTGGTAGCTGGTAGCCGTTAGTAGCAGTTAATAGTCGTTGGTAGTAGTTAGTAGTAGTTAGCAGTAGCTAATGGTCGTCAATAACAGTTAGTAGTCAGAAGTAGTCGTGAGTAGTCGCTAGTAGTACTTTGTCGTAGTTAGTAGTAGTTAATAATACTTAGTAGCAGCTAGAAGGATGTAGTAGTAGTTGGGCAGTGGCAGTGGCAGTGGTAGTGGCAGTAGTAGTTGTAGCGGTAGTGGGGATGAGCTAACAGAAGGAGAACGAGGTGGAGGCGGAGGCGGAGCAGGAGGAGTTTTGCCGTTGTCGTTGTCGTAGCAGCAGCAGGAATAGTGGTAGTAGTCGTCGATGTCCTAGCAAACGTAGTCGGTTGTCGCCGCCGCCGCCGTCATGGCAATAATCAACATTGGTCGTGAATAGCGCTAAGTAGGAGTAGGCTCTGCTTCTCGGAAATCGAGATCTGAAGCTTCGACGATGGAAGCAGTGGTGGTCCAGAGACATCGTTGGCACGGCTTTGGGCTAGGGCTACGGTTGGGGTGTTCGGCACGGCCATCATCGCCCAAACCTGTCTGACGGGTTCTGAGTTCGCCGCAAGCTCAAGGCCACGGTGGTGTTGATGTTGTTGGTCGGTGCAGCCAACTCACCTGGAAAGAAGGTTTAAGGCTTCAGCTGAACTCAAACGGTGTAGGGTCGTGAGGTTATGGCGCATCCTTGCACTCGAAATCGTCATAAATGGAAACAGATCGACAAAGATAGCTCTCTCCTTAACTCTGCTTCATGAACCTTCGGTTGGCGGCACCGGTACTTGCATGGGGCCTTGGCTTCATAGCTTCAGCCCCCCCCCTACCCTACAGCTACCGGGCTGCCGAAACTTGGGGACCTGCGGGTTCCGTCCGACTTAGTATCTCTATTCTGGTCTCGTAGACGGACTCCCTGTGGGTTCTTTCCGATTCCGGCTTGTAATGACATCAGAAACCGTGGTAAGCAAGATCCGATGAGAAGTCAGAGCCCCCCCCCTCTAAGCTGGGCTTGAAGTTCGCGCCTGTTCTGAACAATGCTTGCAGAGGCTTGAACACTAAACCCTAAAACTACAGAAGCCACTAAGCCCAATCGCCCCCTAACCTCGGACCCCAAACCCTCAGCACTAAACGTCAGTAACCCTGAACACGTAAACCCAAACTCTCAACCCTCAACACAAGAATAAGAAGTCGCCAAACCCCAAACTCCTAAAAGCCCGAACACCAAGTCCAAGGCAGTCACTATCCTCAACCCCCAACCCTGACCGCAGACCTGTGAAACCCGAAACCCTACATGCTGAAGTGCTAAACCCCAGCCTAGACGTGCAGAATGCCCCAAAGCCTAAACCTGTAACCCCAAAGTACGAACTCAAAAACCCTAAAACCCTGCACATGCTTGAAAGCCCGCAACAAATTCAAAACGCCGACAGGCCCCCTGAACCAAAAAGTAAACATATACGACACATAGATTAAGCCGCCAATAACCCTAAACCCTGAATCCTAAACCCTAATCCCTAAACTGCCAAGAACCATCTCGGCCTGCAGGGATCTCGAACAGCTTCCAAGGGATCAAAGCGCCTCGCGCGTCGTTTGATTTGAGGCACGGGGTTTAGGATTTAGGGTTTAGGATTTAGGGTTTAGGATTTAAGGTTTAGGATTTAGGGTTTAGGATCCAGGGTTTAGGATCCAGGGTTTAGGATTCGAGGTTTAGGATTTAGG